AGCAAGCTTCCACAGTTGCACTAAGTTTTGATAACAGTTAAATATTATTTTAATAATACATTTATTTCAATGTTGATGAATTTAGAACGGTTTATTCATAACCTGATTATCTTTGCAGTACACTGTTGGATTTAAAAAACACATTCAAATAAAAAAATCATTATATTTATGAACAAACAAACACACCTCTTTCTTAAATAACACACTTGCTCTGTAATAATATGTTTCTTGATATTTCTGCTAGGAAAGGACAGGCCTGAGAGACAGGACTGCTTCACCATGTTCTCTTTCTCTGAGGGTCCAGAAGAACATCCAAGAGGGAAAGGAGAAGCTGATGTGATGAGATTAAGAGCAGTACAGGACATTCACTAAGAGACACTTGTATTGTAACACAAAGACCTGCACACTGACTAGTTTTGTAGTCTAACAGGAACTTCATTTGTGTTGTTTTGTGTTTTACGTTGCACCTCAGAGACAGTGTGATTGTCACGCCTATAAAGTTTGGCAAAAAAAAAGTCAGCTGATCAAATGCATTTGCCTCACTTTATGAGCTTCACATCACTTGTGCCTTGTGCCGCAGAGTTTGGAACTTCATAAATAAATGGTACCAATCTTCAGTCAGATGTGAATGTGTAATCTAACATTTTCAGTAAGAATAACGGACAAAAGGAGTGCAAATACAATTTATTGAAATGTGAACTAAAAGTTATCAAGCATGAACCATCACCATTTTTTTTTTTTAAATAAAAACGAAATAATATACATAAGTTACACTAAATGTTAATCTGTTAATTGACAGGCTAGGCCTGTGCAGGTGGTAACAGCTATGCCCAGCATGGGCTAAGTTCTGTAGGTGGTGCAGGTCCTCCTCCATCAGGTCTGGTCCTCCTCCCTCAGGCCTGCAGGGTCTTTCCCTGCGAGGAGGACTCCTCGCAGGGAAAGACCCTCAGCCCTCTCCGGCCAAAGCAACAGACAGGACGTTCATAAAGCTGAGGTCTCCCCCAAAGTCTCTAATCATCCATCCTGTGAATATGAGAGGGGAACAAATAGTGTAATAGATGCTTTGGACAATAAGAAATATAAAGTTAACTGTTGAGTTGCTCAGTTTTTTAGATTGACAGGGTTTAATAACACAAACAAAAGGAGAGAAATAAAGATTGGTCTTTCAATACATTGTGTTGATTTTGTCTTTTGAATTGTTTGTCTGAAGTCAAGTAGCTAGAACTGTTACTTGTAGTTTGAATGATACAGTCTGGTTATAATGTTTGGAGGAGGCATCACAGGTAAGAGCACCATTTGTTGTGTTCCATCCACAACACATTGATGTGTGTGTATTTATTTATCTACTATTTCTTGAATCATTACTGTCAGTCCAAAACAAGAGATTTTGTTTTGGTAACATTTAAAAAAAAAACATTATCTCTTTTCCACTACACTATCTTGAATACTTTAGTTTTTACGTCACTACATTTATCTAACAGCTTTAACATTGTAAAGGTGTCACTTCGGACTCTGGGTAATTATGACAGCATGTCCTACTCAGAGCCCTAGAGTCTCTCGGGCTCTGGTCCTACTAGTTTGAGACTTTGAACAAACCAGACCTTCATCTATTAATGTAGAAAATAGTCGGCACATTACACCATTATGAAAGTAATAATTAGTTAGCTCATTGTTCAAATGAGCTCCAACTACAACAGTTAAGTCAACTCGTGCATCGGTAATAACAATAAATCAAATGATATAATATAATAGTATAACTTGTGTCTACTTTAAATACTCTAACAACACTTTCCTAATTATACTAGCATACTTTTACTAAAGTAACATTAACATGTTTAAATGCAGGGCTTTTGTAAGAGAGTATTTCGTATAGTGTAGCATGGTCTACTTGACTTATCTAACCGAAGTGATCGTTACGTTACTTTGCAAACCGTCCCCCCCCCCCCCCCCCCCCCACACACACACACACAAAGGACAGGGTAACGTTGTGATTCACTTCAGTTAATGATAACTACGGAGCTTGCTAACAGCAAGGCACAAGGCTACTTCACTCATTTAGCTAATGTAAGATACAAATGCTGTCGAGCCCTCACTGCTTGTAAGATAAAGAGCACAAACTGACTGCTTACCCGAGCGGCGAGCCCCGCTGTTCTCCGTCATTTTTCTCCCGGGTTGTTGTGATCACATGACTGACAAAGCCGTGCTCTGATAGGCCAAGTCGGTTTGATTGCATTAGGGCTCGATTGCTTATCCTGTCTGAGTAGCCCGGATGAGGCTGCATCGCAATTTTTGACGTCGAATTTTACACACCGAATTTTTTTACATCGAATTTTAAACACCGAAATATTTGACGTCGAATTTTTTTCACTTGAATTTTTGGAATCTGAATTTGAACATTCGAATTTTTTTAACTTGAATTTTTACATTTTTATTTCACATAGATAAATTCGGAGCAAAAAAAATTCAGATTCATGATTTTCAAAGTAATTATTTTCAATGCTATAAATTCGGTGTCTAATACAATTCAAATACTTCTGTCTCTTGTTTGCTTCCATACATGTTATGTAAATATAAATGAGATGTATTTATTGAAAAAAAAATCTTTTAAATTAAAACTATAGGCTCCACTTCCATGTATGATCAAAGTGACAAGGCAGTTCCTTGAACTTGGCATTTTAAATAAATTGCAATTTACGTATAAAACCATTTTTTATTTATTTTTTATTTAGTACCATTGCAAAGACAATCTCTATTTATTCAACATATATAATGAATGTGAGTATTAGGTCAACGTCATGTATTTTGGTGTCTGCAAAAGTAAGTGACAGCACTTCCACCTTTTCTGTCTACAGGTGAGGAAGACGAGGACACAAGTCAGGATGACAGGGAAATAAGTAACGCACAGCCACAGTCTGAGATAGACACAGAAGAGTCAGACCAACAAAGTACAGAGACAGCCACCAAAATGACAACAACAATGAACAGAAAGTGCAAAGCAGGGCCAAAAAAGTTCAAAATTGCCATGACAAGAACACAATGGAACAAAATTAAACCTAAACATGGCAAAAAAAAACTCCGTCCCCCCTGGACTGATAACTTTGATCAGGATTTTTTGAAAAATAATCCATGCTGCACACTTGCTTTCAAATACCAGCATGTTAAGACAAATGATCGCCGTAAAAAAAATTCGCCATTTTTCTGTGCCTCTGCAAAATGCACATTTAATGGTCTGTCTAGTTTCTCAAAAAAGAACAGGCCAAAATCAACGGATACAAACATAATTTTTAAAGTCATGCGCATTGGTGAAGTTATACACCATAAAAATCAAAGGCGATTTAGACCAGCAAAATACACAAGAAGAGGAACAATTTCCAAAGCCTTAACCAGTGGTGTCAGCAATTATTACTACACTATGTTAAGACAGACACCAGTAGAGGAAATAATGGCTGGTAACATAAGCAGAAGCCTCACCAAAGACGTGTTAAAGAAAATATCCTCTGAAGTGAAGAAAAGTGCAAGGCTCCACGATGACATGATGCTTGAACTCATGTTGAGTAAAAAAATAATCAAAGAGAGCAGCAGTCATGTGCCAGTGTAGTTATTTGACCCAACACTGATTTTGAGTGAATCGGTCACATGACCTGGAAGGTATTGACGAAATAAGCTCATTTTTCCATCAAAAATATTAATATAAAATATTTAGAGTGTTAAAATGCAATAAAAAGAGGTGTGTCCTATGCAGCAGGTGTAGTTATTTGACCCAACACTGATTTTGAGTGAATCGGTCACATGACCTGGAAGGTATTGAAGCAATATGCTCATTTTCGCATTAAAATATTAATATAAAAATATCTTAAGTATTAAAATGCAATAAAAAGAGGTGTGTCCTATGCAGCCAGTGTAGTTATTTGACCCAACATTGATTTTTAGTGAATTGGTCACATGACCTGGAAGGTATTTAAGAAATAAGAAACATTTTCCATCAAATTATGAATATAAAAATATTTAAAGTATTAAAATGCAATAAAAAGAGGTGTGTCCTATGCAGCCAGTGTAGTTATTTGACCCAACATTGATTTTGAGTGAATTGGTCACATGACCTGGAAGGTATTGAAGAAATAAGATAAGTTTTCCATCAACATATTAATATAAAAAAACTATAGTGTTAAAATGCAATAAAAAGAGGTGTGTCCTATGCAGCCAGTGTAGTTATTTTATCCAGCACTGATTTTGAGTCATTAGGTCACATTATCTACAAGTTATTGAAGAAATATGCAAATGTTTCCATACAAATATTAAAACGTATTTAAAAGTATTAAAATGCAATAAAAAGAGGTGTGTTCTACAAATGCATACTCTAGCGTGGATTTGCTTCACATTCACATCGATCGGGAAGCTGTCGATTTATTAAAAAGAAAAATGTTCTTGTGTAATTGAAAAGTCATTTGTTGATGGTCCCTAAGTGAAAGCCTCGTTTCGCGGAGAAGATCTCCCCGTCGTAATACAGCCAGCAGCAGGGGAAACTGACGCTGCTGGCGGGTCCGCGAATGTCCGTCGAATATCCAACCTACAACTAAATTCACCGCGGTATCTAAATGAGACTACTAACTGTCATTACACCAAACATTAGTCGGTGAATGTCCGAAGTTTGTATGTTATAAAAATAGTGGCAGTTAACACGGACTGCGTTTAATGCATTTCATAGCATTGCATTAGCTATTGACTTCTGCCGATTGCATTTCCACTTTCAACTTTTGGAAAAGTGTTGTTAATCTGTGAGATTATCCTGCTGAACAACATTTATGAGTATCATATGTTTGCAAAATATGTTATTTTCTGCAATATTCCAAAATCGAATGGAAAATCCCATTGCTTTTTAATCGATGGAGACCTTGCTATGCTACATTTTGGGTCGGCCTACACAAATATGTCCTCACTGCACCGCTCTATAGAGGCACTGCCTTGGGAATTCATTTGAAAATATAGAAACAACAACAGGCTTTAACAGTGGTATCAGTTTTACTTTAATTCATCTTTACGGACAGACAAAACAATGGCACCAACACCGGGTTTAACTTGGTAAAAGCTTAAAATTAGGGACATCCCCTTTAAAAATAATTATCATAGCAGAATGAAATGTTAATACAGCAGCTGAACTGCTTATCTTTAAAGGTGGGGTATGTAATTCACTTCAGAAACACTTTTTGTTATATTCCATGGAATGCTCTTAACATCCCGATAGCAATGAATACATGAAATGCTTTGACAATAAATACATAACAAAATGTATCCCTAGAAGCCGTGGCGCTGTAAAAAGCACGACCAATCATCTGAGCCGGCCCGGGCTAAAGTAACTGGATGGTCTACCTGCCTGTCAGCCTTCCATCTGTGCACAAACTTATCTCGTGCCCTCATTGGTCATGTGCGCGTTCGTGTGTGTTGGAGGAGGGGCTCTGTGAGGAAGTCTGAAGGAAGGGGCAGATTTTGTTGGCTAGTTTCAAATTCTAGGGCACTCGAGCTGGTTTCTCCATTCTTACCTTTAAGCTGTGAAGTCAATTGATGTGAAATAATAAATATAGCAAGCAAATAAAGTAGTACACCTGATTTCTTACTTTCCAACATGCTTTATCCCCTTCTCTGAAGAACAGAAAGTGTGTGTGTGTGGTCTTCAATGTATTTTGCTTCTGATGCACAGGAGATGCACTGAGCTCCCTCTAGTGGTGTAAGGTGTGCACTACACTGAGAGCACTGGTTCAAGTCAGTAATAACATATAATAACGGTTCAACACATTCCATAAGTACATTTTATCAGCCAAAAAACAAACAGATACACTTTTCTGGGTCTCAATTTAGAAACCTCAACCTCACTAATGATGACATTATGTTTACCATCATGTCTTGCGTCTTGAACATGGTCTTGAAGCAAAACCATACAGCTCAATACTGTAAGCACTTTACATGCGGACCAGGACCCATGTTTATCAAACTTGTAATCAAACACAATAAAAAATTCATATTATGACTTAGAATATTTAAAATCAAGTAAGATCTCTTTAAGTGGCTGAGGGCACACTCCTTGCCGTGACATGCTATAGACGGCAGTACAGGTTCTATGTATAGGAATACAGAATAGACTTGTTTGGGGCAGCTTTCTTGCTGTTCCAGTCTTATGTAAAGATGCACATTTTAAAAAGATGTTAACCCACGTAGTTTCCTTTTGATCATACGAGAGCTTCACCGTCAGTGAGGTGTGTCTCCAGCTAAATCTGTATTCTTGTTCTCATTTTGTATGAATAAAACATTTGATAAAGGCATTTAAACGCCCCAGTCACTGTTCAGTCTCTGTGATAAGGTTTTCTTTTCCTTTTGTAAATGCGGCCTGGGTCCAGACAGCCTTGAAAACAACACATTGGTGGCTGCAGCCGACTGTCCCCTGTTCTCTGAGTCAGCTGGTACCAGTGTTAAGGTTCTCATATCCTGAAGGTGTCAGCGCCTCCTCAGGTCCCGCCTCAGTTCAAACTGGGCCTCATGTAAACAGTTCCAAACACTGTTGAGTCCAGCTCCCTGTGACACTCCACATGTGACACAAAGCCATGTGTTTCTGTCCACTTCATCAGCTCCACCTGCTCCTGTCTCTCCGTCACTCAGTCAGATGTTGATGTCCCGGACATCTGTGGGTGTCGTTGAGAGGTCCTGCTCCTCGCTGATGTTCTTAGTTTCCATGGCAACTGAGTGTTGGGGTTGTTGTGCCTGTCTGAGGCTGGTTTCCAGCAGCACCTCGATTTGTTCCTGACACGCCCTGAGACAGTCCTGCGGACAGAGGACAGGTTAGTGGAAAGTCAGACATTCTGTCTGTGTGTGTGTGTGTGTGTGTGTGTGTGTGTGTGTGTGTGTGTGTGTGTGTGTGTGTGTGTGTGTGTGTGTGTGTGTGTGTGTGTGTGTACCTACCGGGTCACTCCTGATGGTCTGTGCCAGCTGCTCTGTCAGTTTCTGAGACATCAAGCCGTTGCCCACCATCCTCATCTGGAGCCCCTCCACTGCTGCCACCATGCTGCCTGCTGCTATCATGGAGGGGGGGCTGGCAATAAACTTCACATCTGCAACACCATGGAACTTAACATTAATATGGCACATTTTAAATAACAAGTGACACAACAATAGACAACCAATAACAACATTTTTTAACTCCATTCCATGCACAGGGTTTGGAGGGTTACTTTATAAATGAATTATGTTAACATTACTAATATGAAAAATAGTAATCAGTTGCTTAATCTAAGTATCACCAGATACAAGTCAGATAACCGTGACTTTTTGTTACTGTTCATTTACTTTACTAAAGAGCATAGTATAGCTCCCAAAGCAGAGTACATATGCTCTCTTATTGGCAGAGACGATGCTTTCAATAGAATATATTGATCCAACTCCTGAACTGCAAATACAGGAGATAAAGGCCCACAGGATTCTAGAGACAATTATAGTGAATAGTATACTTTATTTCCATACATGAATTAAAAGCAAACATTATTTACTTTTTGCATATCAGGGGTCTACCTACAGCATTTAAATATATATATATATATATTAAAAAAAAGGATAAGATTAATGTAGATGAAAACTAAAAATCAGTCTGTAAATGAGATGCTGACCTCTTGGATAATGACTGTATATTAACAGCTGGAACTGTAATGACATACAGTTACAGCTTTATGTATTCTAATGACATCATCTCGTTACATGTCATCTGTTTCTCACCAAGCCTGTCACACAAAACAAACACAGGGGCTGGGTTCATGGGCAGGCGGTGTTAAAGGGAACGGTTAGACATTGAAATGTGACCCAGGAAGTCCAGGTGGAATAATAGATAGAGGTTGTAATGTCCCGTCACTACTCCCCTCATGAAAGTATTATTAAAACATGAACCAGCAGCAGTAATGGATCACTTATTTGTGTTGTTACTGGCTGCTACTTTACTACCTCAGACTGTAACGCTGAGACAATCACTGTCATGTGTGATATACCATTTTAAGGGTTTCATTGGTTGCTACTTTGTAGATGTTTTGGTTATTTTGGAGCCTTTTCGATTGGTAGACAACCATTTAACAACTGTGTCACAGCTGAGAGAAAACAATCTCTTCAGTGTTAACGTAAAGCAATTGCAACGTTTTAAAAAGATTCCACCTTTCAGAGGGGTCAGCCTTCAGCAGAATACTGTGAAATACATGAGCACGGCCTCAACAGCGAATAGGAACACTTTCTCCTGATGTCAAAAGAGACGTATAGCCCCATGCGTACCTGTGGCACACAGAGCCACGAAGGTCTGAGCGTGCTTCCTGAGGATGGGCCTGTTCTCTCTCCTGACAGCCAGCTGAGACAGGAAGTGGTCGATGAAGTCAAGGGGGGTCACTGAACCCAGGTCCCACTTCAGCTTATTCAGAACCAGCAGCTCCATTTGCTGTGAGGACAGAGGGACAGGTTCAAGTTTGATCCCTCAGACAGATGCAGGGATTAACAGAGATGGGGACGAAGGGGTTCGGTCTACATGTGGGGATTTTTGGCTTTAAGGTGAACAAGGAAGGTCAGGGGTCATCAAAACCCATTAGGGAGCCCCCTCTGGGGACCATGATGGAGTGTTGGTCACTGGGTAATGTATCTTGGTGGTGGAGCTTCAAGAATTGGCCTAAAGATTACTAAACATTTTAGAAGCTTTACCCCTGGGACAATAATAAGTCGAGGAAATGTCTGGATCGAAGAAATCGTTCAGACGGACAGACGGAGGGCCTGATGCCAGACATAGGGAAATAAGTGATATACTTATGAGCTTTGCCTATTGTATCCCCACTAAGACTAGCTTTGTGGTGGACTAATCTTTTTGGCTTAGGAAGGTTCTTAGTGGAGGGAAATGACCCAGAAGTATCTAAGTGGCATTTTTGCACAAGACACCCTGGACCATCCTTTAGGAAAGGAGGCCTTTCCTTGCAACTTTAAAAGTGACGCACCAGTCAGCCGTTTCTTAATCAAGCATTGGTAATGAGGTAATATCTTTGTTCCGGTTTTCCAAGTTGCCTGCCATAAACAACACCATGACAACGCACGGGGTATCTAGAAGCACTTTTAGTAGTCCATGAGGAACATGTCTAGTTTTCCCCCAGCAGACACACATCTGTAACCTCCAGGTGTCACACAATCAAAACATCGCTCGGTGTAAATGCAGTGTGACTACTTGACCGAAGCCCAAAGTGCTGTGCTGTGATGGAGACCTACCAGCAGCTGGGTGGGTGTGATGGAGTTGTCGGTGTAGATGCAGAGTTTCTCGGCACTGAGTGGCATTGTCTCCTTCAGTTTGGATGCCAGGAACATGCAGACAGCCCCCAGCAGCTGCAGGTGGCTCTTCTTGGTGGGTTCCACAGACAGGAAGCGGTCCATGTAGTTCATCGCCAGAGGGAAGACCTCCTCCTCACACTTCTGCTTCCTCACAGACCTGCACACACAGACCAGACACACTGCCATTAAACACTGTTTCTTATTTAGCTCATGAGAAGAATTCACTTTGATCCACTGCAATATCTGGCCAAGCGTTATCATGACTTCCATGATGTCCATGAGTGAGGATTATCCATATCACATCTGCAGAAAAGACCACTGGTGTCAGTTTCAAACAACACTAAGAGTTTAAGTATCTGAATAAAGACATTGTGAATCACATGTTTCCTTGCATAGTTTATCAAGAGTTCACAAGCCAGCGTGAATCCTATCTAAGATGGAGGGAATCCTGTTTGAGATGATGCCGTTTCCAACAGTTTGCTGCCAAAAATACAATTCCAATTAAAAGGGAAAAATTGAATGGATATAAAATGTTAAATGTTTAAGGTATCGCAAAGAACATGGATCATGTTAACAGGGATTCAACTGTGCGTAATAAGGTATAGGTTATTTATTTATGCCATGACAATAAGGAAAAAATAACGAAAATGACCAGATCAAAATATTGAAAATATTAATAAAATCCCAATTTTGATAATCAATGATTAAAGTAAATGATCAATTCAGTGTCATTCAAGTGAGAATGTTTTGCAAATCTTGGTTTCATGTCCTTAACTATAACCTCTTGGCAAAAAGAGAAAGAGAGATTGCATTAGAATCTTTTTTAGATCAGTGGCTCAGTCAGTAGGGGCTTGGACTGGGAGCCGTAGGGTCGCCGGTTCAAGTCCCCGACCAGACCTAAATATGGAGTGTGGACTGCTACTTGGAGAGGTCCCAGTTCACCTCCTGCCCTGCCGTGATGCCCTTGAGCAAGGCACCGTACAACCCCCTTCCCCCCTCACTCCCCGGGCGCTGTACAATAGCTGCCCACTGCTCCTAGTACTAGACTCCTGGTACTAGGATGGGTTCAAAGCAGAGAACACATTTCACTGTGTGTGCTCTGCATGTGTGACCATTAAAGAGGGTTTCATCCCTCCCTATTCTATTCTTCTTCTATTCGATATGGCCTAAGGGATTTAGTCAGTAGTTCAAGAAAACACAAGAAACCATGTCACTCTCAGATAATGGTATGGTGTTGTCATTGCAACACAACAACTTAGGCTCAACAGCTTATGCAAAAAGACAACGGGCACTGCATTACAATAATAGTTATGCACATACAGTAGGAGTCCCAGTTACTGTAGGATCTACACACAGAGCATGTTACTGTAGCCCTGAGGACAAACATGGAGCCTGAAGAGGTCAAACCTGAGCCCTTTAAACTTCCTCACGTTCACCAACACAAAGGCATCGCGTGGTCTGCAGAGAATGGCAGCTCGAAACAACTTACAACATGTAAAAAAAACTATATTTAAAGTCTTTTGAGCACATATTAGTATGCATTATTTGTGGATCTTGGTTTTCTTCCTACAGCGTTAAGTTGAACTGGCATGTGAGCATGGAAGTAGTTATTGTACGCAAGTGAAGACGTAGTGTATGGAAGCTATGGGAACTTTAGTCTTCTTTATTATCTGTTAAAATCACTAGCCAACGAAAGGCAGAGCATGTTTGCCTCATAACAGCCTCTTTAATTTATTGTGGACCAGTATCAACAAGTCTACCCATGGAGTTTCAAGTATTCGCAAGTCCAGTAAGTTACTAATTTAACAGCATTTAAAACGCCATTAGGAAACACCAGTGGAAATCCCTAATTGCTGCTCTTTTTTTGCATTACTGCATTTGAAATTGTCTAGTCTCTAAGCAATACAATACAAATAAAAAACGCATAGGCTCATTTGCACCCTTTCTTCCTCTCTCCCCCTTCTTACCATCAGCAGAGTGGGTAGTGAGCAGAGTGGTTACAGGTTACATACTTTTAATGGAGATGAAGGCTTCTTAAAAGTGAACTCTGCAGAGGAACTTTAAATTCCCAGGTCTGTGAACGCCACTGTCTCTCACCCACCATCATGTATCTGAGTTAACTCACCTCCAACATCCAGGTAGCCACTATCCTCCTCATGCACGGGACTATTTCTCTCTGGACGCATTTGAAGTAGTTGGCAGCGGGGAGGTACTTGTCTTCAGCCCGCAGCAGAGCGTTCAGGACCCGGTCATTCAACAGGTTGGAGTCCCGGTAGGCCCTCCGGACGACAGGCCTGTCCCCTTCACAGCACAATAACTGGGGGTCCATTCCCCGTGCCTGCAGCACTGTGTCTGTTTAAATGTGGTAACAAACCCTAAAAGTAACTTCGCATTAGCTAACAACTACTAATTAAAAGCCGCTCCACATTTTGTTCTACAACTTTCTTTTTACTCGTGGGAGATATTACCACTTTAACAGTGGGAATGTTAGAAGTAGTGAATTGAATGGTCCCTTGTTTGTCTCCGTTAAGTCACTGTGCTAGTTTATTTCTTTTTCCTTCGGTCCTAAAGTTACTTTCTTTTGTTGCACAGGGCACTCGGAGGGCCAGACGGAGCGGAGGCAGCATGTATGTTCACCGACACCCCCCTGCAGCGGCGCCGCTTTATCAATGCGCGGCCGCGTCAAGCTGATTAGCATAAAGGTTTACACTTCCGGCACAAGCTGTCAAAAATAAAGCAGCATAGCGTTTTAATTTTTCATCTACGTTTGAAGATCACACACTATTTAAAAAGGTCGTTTCCCCAACATTAGGTGGTGGAGGAGGAGGTGTTTGGACCACTTACTTTAGTTGTGTAAGTGTATCCCAATTATTGAGGATAAATAAGAAAGTATTAAAGTAATAGCAAAGAGATGACATGACATGTTTTAAGTGTCTTAATATATCAATATAGTAATGAATTATTTTCTTAATCTTTCAGTTGTCAACACGAGCATATGTATCTAATTGTGGATCGTTTATTTTGTTTAAACATCTTATTTTATATACAACAAAAAATACTTTTAATAATCTTGGTTTATGTAGTTAGTACCTAGATGTCAGATCAATATAGTGAAGTAGGATGTAAAGGATGTGTATACTCACCTTAGTTTACATTAGGTAGTATCATATTAAAGTATTTATGGAAAATGCTTGATGAGCAAGACAAGCATATGATTTGATGTAGCCAAGAAATTAAATATTGAACTTTTGCTGAACTGACAAATGTCGTTCCTCTTATTTTGAAGATGTCGTGCACTTCCGGTACCAGAGCGAGACTTGGCTAACTTGATACAAGAGAGAGAGTGATTGAGTGAGAGAGAGACCAAAAACTAAAAATGAAAGCTAAAACAAAGTGCTTTTTTGACGATTTTTGGGAATTATTACAATGTTCAGGCACTACAAACTATAGTTATTGTATTAACTGTCTTCGACTGATACTTTGTTAAATCATGCCCTACAAAAACACTCTTTTCAGAGATGTATGAAGTAGGTGAGGAGAGGGTTAAAAATAACAATTTCTGTGCTTTCACTTTAGAAACATCGAAAAAATATGTTTTCATAACATTTCAATTTGAGAGTTTAGCTTTAATGAACTACATTCAGAATGATACTCCCCCATAGAGTTACTGTCTTACACACACACACACACACACACACACACACACACACACACACACACACACACACACACACACACACACACACACACACACACACACACACACACACACACACACACACACACACACACACACACACACACACACACACACACACACACACACACACACACACGTATATGCCACTACATGCCACAGTGTACATACACTCCATCATTTTGTACTCAGAGTTTAAACTTTAGATATTTCACATCTAATACATCTTTTTTTTTAAAAACTAAAACCTCTTGCTGAATATATTTGATGTGACATTGATCAGAATACCTAGCTGACTAACATAATGTTGTTATGACAGCCGCAGTGTACCCATTGTGACTGTTTGTCCAATTAGAAAATGGAGCACAATACACACAGCTTTTAGGCATTTTAAAATGCATTTAAAGTCCAAATCAACTATCCTGGATTGGTTACTGTATAATGTTTTAGTTCTTTTAATTTAGTTCCTGAGAAATCATGTTTTTTTCCATCATTTTGCAATGGGGGAGGGGTCTGTAAATCTTACACCATGCCACTGGAGAATAAGTCAATCTAAGCATGTTGTGAATAAAAGACAATACCATAGTTGATGAATTCATCTTAATCCAACACAATCTTTTTTTTAACTGCAGATTGTGGGAGCAGCAGAGGTGGAATATAAGTATATCAGATCTAGTACTCAATTAAAAGTAATGGTACAACAAGTTACGGGTTAAATGCCTGTATTCTGACAATTACATTAGTATTAACAGCAAACTAAATGTAACGTATAAAAGTAAAGGGATTCCTTATGCACAATGAATTCTTTCAGTTGGTTAAATGATGGACTAATCAAACTCCTAAAAGTTAATTATTTTCTCTCTTATGCAGACATTATCTAGGGCAACAACATATGCAACTTTGCCCAACTCCACCCTGAGTCTAATCAGCTTCATGACTCCAAACACCTGTGGGTTTGCAAAGCATACAAAGTATGACATTTCATATGTTCATTATTTGTTTCATATGTAAAATCATAGTAAGAATGACCTTTATCTGTTGTATAAAGGTAGTCCAGTGACAAATACAATGTTTCCTCTGAAAATTGAGTAGACCTAGACATTTGCAAATACATTGGATACTCTAACATATGAAACTTGCACTGTAGTTATCCCAATGCTGTATGTCACACAATTCAAAGCTTCGAGGTTGGATGGTTCTTAAAACTGCAAATTGTAGTTATATTCTCATTCAAAATCTTTATATTCACAAGCTTGTATATTTAAGTTTTGATAATCAAGATATATTCCAAAATAGGGAGAAGTGATCATTGTCTACAGGAAAGAGTTGCCATTTATTCAACTCAATGTAATGAGAACTTATTGGCAATGGCAATTATGGCACATTTCAAAAGCATGTACCCTTGTACCCTTCTAGTAGTAGTATTTTATTTGAAGAGGTACTGTTTCCCATAGGAACCAATAGGATTTGGGTAGCCAGCGATGGACTATTGGATCAGGAGTCTGAACAAAATGAAATGAAAGATTGGTTTTGCAGTCATCTGAACACACCTCAACAGAGAGTGTAGATACGTTTTGGGTCTGCCTGTGTTAGACTGGCAGGCTTTCTTGGATGGACAATTCCTCTCACACAATACACGCTTGGATATGCTCCAGCGATTCCTGAGCCTAACAAGGGAAGATGGGAAATAAAATATTCATAGGCTGTGACTTGAGAAACCATGGATCTCACATGTGTAGAGCACTCCTTACATTTGACTGTAAAACTCTCACTCCTTGACAAACAGAGATCTAAGTGGTTCAGTGTGTAGATGTCCATAGGAGAGAGCCGGAGACACAGATCTGTGTGGCAACGTCTCTCTCTGTCTGTGTGTGTGACCTTTAACCTCAGTTCCTCAGGGTGGCCGCGTCCAGGGTCATACTCTGGACGCGGCATACAATAGTCGTCTAAAGTTTCTATTGATACATTTTGATTGATCCCTCTTACAATAGAGCCTGATCTGTGGTGATCAGCTTCGCTAGCCTTCTGCCATGTCATCCATTATAGTTTCTGGAAGTGAGTTGGGCTTCATAGCGAGATACAGATCATATATGAGAATATTGTTCTCTTTAGGGAATGAGCATCTAGGACCTGACAGCACATTTGTATGCCTAGTTTTTGTAAAAAATATTGAAATGCTTATCCGTGAATCCAATGAATCTTAAAGTTATGTACCACATTGTACCCAATGTTCCAATTAAACATACATCCACAGCTTTACAAAGATGCTATCTAAGATAAAAGCAGGTGGAGGATGAAAGAGAGTGAGTGTGTGAACCCAGGGATAATGCTGAAGATGAATGTGGTGGCAGCTATAGAGAGCAAACAGAGGTCTCCATGCTGAGGAATCCAGCCTAACCATCTTTCACTGGAGATGAATGAAAAGAAATGGACCTGACCGAGTGACTTCACAGAGACAGAAAGGGAGAGTAATGGAAAATCAGAGGCAGTTACTTGGCTACTAGTGTTGGGTCATTTGAAATGGAGCTGTCAACTAACATTTCTTTTAAAATAACCATTGTAATCAAACGAACATGATTTATATTTAAACAATGACGAATATTCATTGTTGCAACTACAACTTCTCTAAAGTTAATTTACTTAACGGGGGGAAGTCTATTCAGTCAGGGGACCAACCATTGTAGTGTCTGGGAGATATACATACATTTAAATGAGAAATACATTTACTGAGGAAATATGACTGGAATCTCACATTTCATGGTTCAGTTGTATGATTCTATAATGAGAATTGTTTGCATAAGAGTATCAAAAAAGATTACAGCAAGGAAAAATAAAGCTAATGCTAAATTGAAACATAATGCTAATGGTGACAGACCCCACTAGGCAATGACACTGTTCATATGGTGCAAGTGAAGAAGTCAAGTGACGTCGTTACAGTCACAAAGTCCGCAGAAGGAGGATGGCTCAATCAAATGTTACCGCAGTTGTGTTGCATCCATAAATGTAGGAGTGATGTGTAACAGTCAAAGACAGGCAAAGAAATATGATATCATCCTGTTGATCAGGAAATGTGTATATGCGTCTTAAAGGTAGTTCAAACTGATGTATTTTGTCGTTCAAGCTAGAGGACTTGTTGTACAACTCATTGTTGCAAAGCACCGTTTAAATACAAAGATTGTGTAGAAATGGCCGAGCGCACACACGTACTGATCAGAGCAATACAGTATATGACAAATGTAGAAGCTGCTATGAATTAGCTGCCACACAACAGACAGCGGGCCACACACACTAAACAATCTATGTGTGCGTGTGTGTGTGTGTTTGTGTGTGTCAGGGGAAGGAAGGACGCTCCCGGTCGCTCTCAAGTGCGTCAGCGCCTTTTAAGTCCTTGAATGGCCTGCTATAGCACGGCTATCAAGTCTGGACACCAGCACAGAGGACGGACCAGGGCTTCTTCTCAAAGAATCTGCCCTTCACCCCCACCTTCAGCCCCCAACTGCTGCTTTGCTGAAAGGGGGGATGGTGCTGTGCTGAGCTTCCGCTGGGGGTTTAAAGCTGAAGAACTTACTTGAACATTTAAGGGGACAATTGATTGCACTATTATTGAAAAAGGTGCTTCTACCAATGTTTATAGCATTCATTTGAAATCAAAGGCAGACCGATTGCTGTCTTCTTATTGGTAATGAAATATTATGAAATCTTGTATGACCTACTACATAAACACTTCATCCCAAGGGTCCTGAGTAATCTCAATCAACCATGCCTTAGCCTCAGCCTTAGCACTCAGCACCATGACCTTTATGACTGAGTTTACACTGATTTTATGCTACAAAAATCACCTTTTTCGACAAAACTTTTACAACATACATTACATTACATTTAGCTGACGCTTTTGTCCAAAGCGACTTACAATAAGTACATTCGATCAAGAAGACACAACCTTGAAGAAAACAGAATCATATAAGTACA